GGAGGCCCAATCTGTGGGATTTTACCGACTGCTGGGAGGTATGTGGCAGTAGGCAGTCTCGAAGGTACGCTGGCCCTAAACCATGTAGGGCTTTAAAGGTAATAACCAACACCTTGAATTGCATCCGGAGACCAATTGGTAGCCAGTGCAGCTCGCGGAGGACAGGTGTAATGTGGATGTACCTCGGTACACCCAATATCGCTCGCGTGGCCACATTCTGGACTAGCTGCAGTCTCCGAATGCTTTTCAAGGGTAGCCCCATGTAGAGCGCGCTGCAATAACCCAGCCTGATAAATATCTGAAGGTAAGAATCAAGACACCAAATCTAAAAGAAACAGGAAAAGATGAAATACAGAAACTGAAGTATATTTCCAATTCCTTTTTTTCAGTAGAACAAATCTTGCTCATTATGTCTTAATGAAGCCATCAAAGATTCTCGCTAATGAAGAAATTGAAGTGCCTGGCCTACATTTCCTCCAATATGCATTGCCTTGCTGCCTTTGTTTTTAAGAAAGAATATGGGGGAAATGAGGGGAGAGGATCCATGCAACTGATCCACAATGGACAATGTTAAGGCAAGGTGTTCAAACACGAGCATGAGCCACAAGGAAGCTGCTTGCTCTCAATAGCAATATTGATAAGAGAGTAAGATGGGGATTGTTCACAATCCCAATTCTAATGTCTTAGTACTTTGATGCAACATCAAAAGGGCAAGAAACAAGTTTTTTTGTTCAGATCACAGCTTGAAAACTTATGTGTAGGCTCAACATGAAAAGTTCTTGGTAATATGTGTCTGATTCATCTTTTGCCACCATGTTCTTGTGGTAGTAGATAGCTTATTTTTAAGGGGTTTCTAAAGTTAGGATGGAAACACCAATATCATGTTTTGCTAGTGATTTGGAATTGGTTGGAGGGTGAGAATTGGCATGTTATTTGTTACAATGAAACTGTAGCATAAGTCAAACATGCCAATTAATGTATGGGTGATAACACTGACTCCATATGTTACAGGTAGTCCTTAACTTACAACCATTGATGTGGTGACCAAAGTTACAATAGCACTGTGTAAAATGAATTTGCACTAGTAAGAAAAGCGCTCATATGATTATTGCACTTATGACCATCTCGGCATTCCCTTGGTCACATAATGAAAATTCAAGCACTTGGCAACTTGTTGTTGTTAGTTGTGAAGTCATGTCCGACTCATCGCAACCGCATGGAAAACATTCCTCCAGGCCTTTCTGTCCTCTACCATCCTCTGGAGTCCATTTAAGCTCACGCCTACTGCTTCAGTGACTTCATCCAGCCACCTCATTCTCTGTTGTTCCTTTCTTCTTTTGCCCTCAATCTTTCCCAGCATTAGGCTCTTCTCCAGTGAGTCCTTCCTTCTCATTAGGTGGACAACGTATTTGTATTTCATCAGGATCTGGCCTTCTAAAAGCAGTCAGGGTTGATCTCCTCTAGGACTGACCAGTTTGATTGCCTTGCAATCCAAGGGACTCCAGCACCATAGTTCAAAGGCCTCCATTCTTTGACACTCAACCTTTCTTATGGTCCAACTTTCACAGCCATACATTGCAACTGGGAAAACCATAGTCTTGACTATAGAAACTTTTGTTGGCAGGGTAATGTCTCTGCTTTTTAGTATACTGTCTAGATTTGCCATAGCTTTCCTCCTCAAGAGCAAGTGTCTTTTAATTTCTTGGCTGCAGTCCCCATCTGCGGTGATCTTGGAACCCAGGA